TCTTTTCTAATTGTTTAGTTTCAGCCTGAAAGTTTAATGTGTATCTTCCAAGATCCCTTTTCACTATGAATCAGCTGCAAACACATAATTCATATATTGTTATCATTGTTATTATGTTCAGCACATACAATAGAACCAAGTAGTTAGGATAGTATCTAAAATATTAAAGGGCTTAAAAAGTGTTGACTCAATGGTTTGCTTTACAAAACAAAGGATTAGATGAAATAAAAATGGCCAATAGACCCCTGAAAGGATGCTTAGGACCACTAGTCATCAAGGAGATGCAAATACAAACCACAATGCAGTTTCACCTCACCCAGTTTAGAATGGCTATCATCCAAAAATAAAAAAATAACAAATGCTGGTGAGGGTACGGAGAAAAAGATACCTAATACACTGCTGGTGGGGATGTGAATTAGTACAATCATATGGAAGACAGTATGGAGATTCCTCAGAAATCTAAAAATACATGTACTGTAGGACCCACTCATCCCACTCCTGAGAATAGCCAATGGATATGAATCAGCATATGAAGAAGTTCCATGCACCCCCATGCTTATAGCAGCTCAATTCACAGCAGCTAAGTTATGAAATCAACCCAGATGTCCATCAACTGAAGACTGGATAAAGAAAATGTGATACACACACACACATGATGGAATACTACTCAGTCATAAAAATATTTTGTCTTTTGCAAAAAAAATGAATGCAATTGCGGACTACTATGTTTAGTGAAATACGCCAATCCCCAAAAGATAAATATTGTATGTTTTCTCTGACATGTGGTAGCTACTGTAAGAATACAAAAAATGTAATGTGTATGAGTGAAACTGACATCTGCAGATTTGATTATTGTGTATAGCTCTGTCTATACACCTGAGGAACAGTGGTCTTTCTACTTTCTACTCATTGAATTATTTATATACTAGAGGATTAAGCCTGTGATTATAAAATAAATTGAAAGCATGCTATCACAAAAATTAAAAGAAAAATGGGAAAGAACGGAGGGAGGGTTCAAAGTGGGAGGTATGGTTAAGTTCTTAAAGCTGTGTATATAAAGCTGCATATATAAGATACATGGGGGCCAGCATTGTGGCTCAGTGGGCTAAGCCTCCACCTGCTGCACCAGCATCCCATATGGGCGCTGGTTCAAGACAGACCCAGCTGCTCCTCTTCCTATCCAGTCTCTGCTATGGCCTGCAAAAACAGTAGAAGATGGTCCAAGTCCTTGGGCCCCTGCACCCCTGTAAGAGACTGGGAAGAGGCTCCTGATTCTTGGCTTCAGATCGGCTCAGCTCCGGCCGTTGCAGCCATTTGGGGAGTGAACCAGTGGATGGAAGACTTCTCTCTCTCTCTCTCTGCTTCTGCCTCTCTTATCTTTGTCTTTCAAATAAATAAATGAATCTTTAAAATAAATTTTTTTTAAAAAGTAATGTTTTCTTGATGTGAATGGAAGGGGAGAGGGAGTGGGAAAGGGGAGGGTTGTGGGTGGGAGGGACGGTATGGGGGGGAAGCCATTGTAATCCATAAGTCGTACTTTGGAAAATTATATGCATTAAATAAAAGTTAAAAAAAAAAATAAAAAAAAAAATAAAAAAGATTTAATTCTGCATTTGCTATGTGACAACATTCTTGAACAGTTTCTTTACCCTTCCAAGCCTGTTTTCTTCTTGGTGTACACATCAGATAATGCTTTCTAGGTAGTTTTGTTGAAAATGCTAAGGAGGTAATGTTTGTAAAGGAGTTATCCCAGTCCCAGGTATGTATTAAATGCTTGTAAGTCTCTGTTTAAATTGTTACTTTCAACCATCACAATACATAGTTTTACAAAATAAAAAAAACTACCAAAATCAAAAAAAAAAAAAAAATTTTTAAAAAGTAAAAATGATATCATACTGTGTGTGTGTGTGTGTGTGTGTGTTCTGTATCTGCCTTTTATCACCCAGTGTCTCCATGGTTTAATCTATGGATGGTTAAGTAACATCAAATTAATTATATCACAAATTCCTAGTCAAGAAGCTCTTACAATTTTGTCACTAAAAATAATAGCTAACACCTACTGATGTTTGTCTCATAGCAAGTTTTTTTTAGTGCTTTATTTAAAAAATTATTAACCAAGATAAGATTATCGTCATTTTAGGGAACTTAGGAGAAGCAGGTAAGAAACTTACCCAGACTACCTGGCAGGCAGTAAACTAGTCAGTATGACTTCAAAGACCATTTCACTTAACTATTTGTACAGAAGCTAGTAATCAGCACAATTGTACCAACATTCTAATAGAACGGATGTTTATTTCTATTTTATAGTTTCCCCAAGGTGGAACTGCTGCAGAAAAATGTGTACATTTTATATTGCTAGATTGCTTTGCATAAAAGTGTTACCATTTACATTTCTACCAGCTTCCTTTCTCTTGCAGCATTATAATTATAAAAATGTATTTCTTCCTTTTTTGCCAATCTGGTGGATGTGTGATATTTTCTTGTCAAGTCTGTATGCTTTTCCAACAGCAGTGATAGTGACCATCATATATGCTTATTATGTATCATATATAATAATATATCATATTGAATCATTATATAGATAATTTACTAATTTTTTAAAGGAATTGGTGCACATGTTTATAGAAGCTGGCAAGTCCTAAATCTGTAGGGTGGGATGGCAGCCTGGAGGCCAGGAGAAGAGCTACTGCTACAGTTTAATGCATTTGCTGCAGAATTCCTGATGGTGGAGTATAGTGATCAGATTTTGCTGTGTTGTCTTCAACTGAATGGATAAGTGCTGGAGGCAATCTCCTTTTCTCAAAGCTCATTGGGTTATATATTATTCTCATCCAAAAATCCCCTCAGAGATATATACAGAATAATGTTTGAACAAATATCTAGCCTACCAAGGCCCAGTCAAGTTGACACATACAATTATCCATCATGTTCTCTACTAATATGAAAATTCTGTAAATAACAGTCTTTAAGCATTAGAGCTATTTTAAAGCTAAAACACTCAATATATGTATTGAGGAAAAGCTGCACACTCTAAAACTTATGTAGCTTTATCCATTTGTTAAATTTTATATCATGCTACTTATTATAATAACTACTAGCATCACATATGCTATATTTTTTGTCTTGCTATATTTTATTGCATATTTTTCTATATTTTACTGCATATTTTCATCAACGAAAAGCACCATGTGCCATACAATTTTATAAACCATTCAGTATATATTAATTCACTAATTAGAATTAATTTTTAAATATTTAATCAGTTGTATTGAGATACTTATATTTTTATTATTTTCTTTTTATTTATTTGAAAGGCAGAGCAACAGAGAGACAGACAGATCTTCCATTTACTGTTTCACTCTCTAAATGCTAAAATGCTCTGATGGATCTGAGCCAGGCCAGAGCTAGGAGTCAGGAACTCCATCCAGGTATTGCAGAAACGCAAGCACTTTAGCCTTCATCTGCTGTCTACCAGCATGCATTAGTAAGGAGCTGGAGCAGAAGCAGAAGAGCTGGGGCCTGAACACACAGGCCACTATGGAATGCAAGTGCCCCACACAGTGGCTTAACCCACTGTGCCACAATACCTGCCCCTAGATTTATTTTTTAATAAGGCTTTGTTTTTGATTACTGCCTACTCTTGCAATACCATCTATGGTAGACTGTAGGCTCCTGGAAGTGAAGGAACAGTCCTTTTTTAATTTCACTTAACTTCCAGTCATATGGATCCAGTTTTTACACTGTGTATTTAGTTGTAGGTTGGTTGACTATATGAGGGTTTTTTTAGTTAGGCAAGAGAAAGAACGTTTTTAATACAGGAATAATTCGTTGTAGCATGATAAAAATATTTTCCTTTGGAAATCTGACAAGATCATTCTGGTGTAGTCACCTGCAATAGAGGGTGTAGAGAGAGCCTTAGGAACATTAGCACTTTTATTAATTATCCATGTTTTTACATCATCTCCAGTGATGATTTGAAAGATATATTAAAACAGAAAAAAGGCAAATGAACCCTTGGCCTACTACAGTGTAGTGTTTAAAAGGATGGGTTTTACAGACTCAATAGTGGCAACAATGGACAGCTACCTCTCCCTCCCATCTCCGTCGAACTCCCAAGTCTCCTCAAATAAGACCAACAATACTAAATCGAAATGAATAAAACTAAAAATGTACTTATGAGAATCAATGTCTGTAGAAAACTTTATTACAGAGCAAAGTGTACTATTTATGCAGATACTGCTTCTTCTTCTCTTCCCAGCTCCTCTCCCCCAGTCTTCCTTCCAACACATTTGCAGCTCCTAATAGCTTTTCTGAACTGTTAATGGTCACATTGCCCTGATTTAAAGTCTGACCTTCCACTTAATAGAGACTAGTTACTTTAAATAAAGATAAAAACCCATGCTTTATAGGATATCTGTGACATTAAAGGTATTACTCCTGGGGGCCAGCGCTGTGGGGCAGCTCGTTAAATTCTCCGCCTTCAGCACCGGCATCCCATATGGGCACTGATTCGAGTCCCTGCCACTCCACTCCCTGCTAATGTGCCTGGGAAAGCAGCAGCAGGAGGCCCAAGTCCTTGGGCCCCTGCACCCGCGTGGGAGACCCGGAAGAAGCTCCTGGCCCCTGGCTTCAGATCAGCTCAGCTCCACCTGCTGCAGCCATTTGCAGAGAGAACCAGTGGATGGAAGATAGATAGATCTCTCTCTCTCTCTCTCTCTCTCTCCCCCTTTACCTCTCTCTGTAACGCTATCTTTCAAATAAATAAAAAATAAATCTTTTAAAAAAAAGAAAAACAAAAGTGATCCTTTGCAGCTCTCGATTTCAGAGGAACCAGCCTGCCAAGAAACATCTAGACTCCCATCTGCTCCCACGAAATGCATAAGTGCCAAGCAGGCCACCCCCAGCTCCCACCCCAGGCCCAGACAGGGCCTCGCACAGATCCTAACTGCTGTCGGCAGTGGTGGGGCTGAGGGATGTTAGGGGCCCAACAACCTACTCACCTCAGAGTGGTGCGGGGTTCAGAACTCACAGGAAAGTGGATGTTCAGACTGAAAGGATCAGAAAAGCAGGATGATTCCACATGCAGGAAGAGGGAGCAGACTTCAGTGCACCAGGCTGTGCCCCGGAAGCTGGTGTCACCAGCATACCCATCATGACAACATGACAAAGCCTTGAACAGCAGCAACAACAAACACCCGCCACGAAGATGCTACTGCAGGGTTCCCACGACGGTGTAAACAGAATGAGACTCTTGGTTAACATCTGTTCAGTAAAAAAGACAAAAATGAACAGGATAGGAAATTTAAAAAAAAATCAAAAAGGTATTACTCCTCATTTTATAATTTTCACTTGCTATTTATCCTTTTATAGAGCACTATCATCTCTTTTGAGCAAATTGTAATAGAGATAAATCCCTGTTATTATAAGACACACAGGGTAACAAAAATCCACATGACCATGTGTCTTGAGAATCTCCTCTCCATAAGTAACAATCTGTTTCATGGGCCAAATATATGAAAATCTAATTCTTTATAGAAGATATACAAGGATGGATTTCCTACAAACACTCCCCTTTCATTAATGCAAAGAATTAAGTCTAGTGAAGATTTCTCCTGTTTGTGCTACAGAAAATTTAAAAATGACATACAATAAGATCATCATTCAAACTCTTGCTTTCAGCATCCTAAGACCTTTTGGATTTTTAGAAGTATAGTTCTTTATGGCAATGATAAACCTCTCCATGCAGCTTTACATCAGTGGTACACAGCAGTGGGTAGAGGAGAGTCATTCCTTGACAATTTAGGCTATTTGAACTACAGTAGCTCTCCTTCTGCTGAATTTTGTTTTTCGCAGACTCAGTCACCGTAATTTCTCCTTCCTATGTACCCTGTGTGGGAAGGTTTGGGAAGGTATGTAGCCTAAGCACATCACAGCGCCTTGTGCCATTCACCTCACCGCATCTCATCACTTAGGCATGCATTACCATTGCAGTATCAGAAGAAGAGTGAGTCGAGTACAATAAAATATTTTGAGAGATATCTCATTCACATAATTTTTATTTTAGCATATTGTTATAATTGTTCAATTTTATTAGTTACCTTTACTGTGGTAAACTTACAAATTAAACTTAATTAAAGGTATGTATGTGAGGAAAAGCACTGTATCGATAGGATTTGGTACTACCTGTTATTTTCAGGTATCCACTAGGGATCTTGCAATGTATCCTCCAAGGATAAGGAGGGAATACTCTACTGTCCCTTGAATACTCTTCCTCAGACTTAGAAAGGGAAATACTAACACCCTAGAAAGTTACCCATCAGAAAAAAAGGATTTTTGAGGGTCTGGTGCTGTGGCATAGCGGGTAAAGCCACTGCCTGCAGTGCCGGCATCCTATCTCGGCGCTGGCTCGTTCCAGCTGCTCCACTTGCAACCCAGCTCTCTGCTATGGCCTGGGAAAGCAGTAGAAGATGGCCCAAGTCCTTGGGACCCTGCACCCTCATGGGAGACTTGGAAGAAGCTCAGGGCTCCAGGCTTTGTTGGATCAGCCCAGCTCTGGCTGTCTTAGGGAGTGAACCAGCAGATGAAAGACCTCTGTCTCTCTGCCTCTGCTTCTCTGTAGCTCTGCCTTTCAAATAAATAAATAAATCTAAAAAAAAAGAACAAAGGATTTTGAAACCTTGTCTTTCACAAAATTATATTACAGAATTTCATTTACCTTTATTTTTGTTTCAAATATCAGAGATAATTAAGTGCCTATTATGGGACTGGCGCTGTGGCGCAGCGGCGCAGTGCGTTAACGCCCTGGCCTGAGGCGCCGGCATCCCATATGGACGCCAGTTCGAGTCTTGGCTGCTCCACATCCAATCCAGCTCTCTGCTATGGCCTGGGAAAGCAGTGCAAGATGGCCCAAATCCTTGGGCCCCTGCACCTGCGTGGGAGACCTGGAAGAAGCTCCTGGCTCCTGGCTTCAGATCAGCGCAGCTCCGGCCGTTGCAACCAATTGGGGAGTGAACCATCAGATGGAACACCTCTCTCTCCGCCTGTGTAATTCTGAATTTCAATTAAATAAATAAATCTTTTTAAAAAAAGTGCCTATTACAAAGTCTCACATAAACAGTACCTTTTACAGTAACTTCTTGCCTTTGAGAACCGTATATCCACCTAGCGCATATTTAATTATCATACAAATGAATGAGTGACGTCAATGACAGCCTGATTGCACTCAGGAGCCAAACTCTGAAGGCTGGCGTTGTGGGTTAGCCTCTGAGACCACGTGACACTGACGTTAAGGCCTGCTGCAGCTTGTTCCTATTGGGAAACTACAATTCCCAGAATGCAAATTCCTTGTTCGTAATTCATCAGGGGGAAGTCGTCTGCGGCTCCCTATTGGCTACGTAGAAGAAGCGCAGTATTGATTGGGTAGGTGGGTTTTAGCGTAGTTACGCATGGAGACTGCGCAAATCTCTTCGCCTGAGTTCCGCGGAACTCATCTTGAGTGTAGGGATGTCAGCCGGCGGGATTTAAAGACGGCTTCAGTTCCGGCGCCACCGGAAGCAATTAGAAGATGGCGTCCTCTTCACTGAGCGGGTCGGCTGCTGCCGGTGGGAAAAGTGAGTTTCGTAACCAGAAGCGGAAGCCAGAGAACCCAGGTGAGTGTGTATGAGAAGCGAATCCTGGGGCTTCTGGAGGTTGATGTGCGATTTTTTTTTTCTTTTCTTGGTTGTGGACGTATTGAGGCCGCCTGCACCCTTTCCTGCGTAGTTGAGTATCTGTGATTGCTGCTGATTTGGAATGTTGGACGGGCCTGCAGGGATGGCTGGCCGGTTTAGTGCCGGCCACGTGTTCCCAACTCGTTGCGTTTGCTGAAGGCCCGCAGAGCGAAATTGTTGCGGAGTCCCTTTTGTAAAAGTTTGGGAGGCCGCTGCAGAACCTGGCAGCACCCAGGTGGCGGCTCGTTTACAGAACGAAGACTAGCGTTTAATATAGGAGTGAGCGCTGATAGTGAAGGGGTGAGACAGACGTAGTGATGGGGGAAGGTGCTACCTGGCACGTCTGCCTCTAGTTCGTCAGACAGTAAAGGAATTTGGGAACCTGTAGCATTATTTCTGTCGGATCGCTAGAATATTAGGTGATGCAGCTCCTGGTCTTCAGACTGCCTTCTTTTTTAATTGCTCTCTTGCGTTGTAGTCCGGTTTTACCCGTTTTCTCCTGTGTGAATGACAGGAAAAGAGGCTAGAGAAAGATCCCAGGGGTTGCTCAACCAGACCTTAAAGAAAATGTTAAAAATCGTGAACTCCCGGTCTGGATGTATTGGGAAGGTACTAAAAAATTAGTGTATAACATCCATTGCAGAAAGTATGAATATACAATATAGTGTAGCTATGGTCCATCCAGCACTCAAGAAACTGGCAGTGAGACCGTTAGGTACGGTAGTTGTGCCATCATGCGCCTGAAGGCCAGTGTGTACTGCTTAGACCGTATGCTCCCTGCTGGTGCCTGAAGTAGCCATTCTAATCCTGATGAATATTATGTTCCCTTTCTTCATAGACCTTACCAACTGTTTGAGAAAGTCGTTTCTCTCGTGGATCTTTTATGAATGGAAGTGGGCTGTGTGCGTCTTTGCGTGTCTTACTTCTGAGGCTTGGATTTGTTGTTTTTCAGTCAGGCTGACACTTGTCACTGCAGTTTTGTTTTTTTTTCCATTGTATGAATAGATCTTGATTTTTTTTTTTATTCTTCCATTGGTGGGCATTGGCATTGTGCCCATTACTTGTTATTATAAACACTGCTGCTGTAAACATCTTTGTACATGTCATCTGGTTAGCACACTCAAAAATTTCTCTAGATTATAAACATAAGATTTGCATCCTTGAAGTATAGGGCCTGTGTAGCCTTAACTCTTCACTAAAGAGATTGTGTCTGTTTTGATTTGCACCAGCACTGGATGATAGTTCTCATTCTTCTAAATCCAATTTAGTCTTTGGTATTAGATATGTACGTTTTGAATTTTAGTCACTTTGGTAGGTGTGAAATGGTATCTGGTTGTGATTTTAATTTGAACTTTTCTGGGGCTGTTGTTGTGGTACAACAGGTTAAGCTGCTGTCTGCGACTATGGCATTCAGTATTGGAGCAGAGGTTCCAATCTGTCTGTTCCACTTCCCGTCCTGCTCCCTGTTAATACTCCTGAGAAAGCAGCAGAAGATGGCCCAAGTACTTGGATCCTGGCCACACATGTGGGAGACTTGGATGGAGTTCCACGCTGCTGACTTTGGTCTGGCCCAGGCTTGGCCATTGCGGTCATTTGGGGAGTGAACCAGCAGATTAAGATTGATCTCTCTCTGTGTCACTCTGCCTTTCAAATAAGTAAATTTTTAGACAATTTTTTGACTCTTCTTGATTACCAATGAGGTTGCACATATTTTTACATATTTTGGGGCTTTTATATTTTTTTCTATTGTGAAACTCCTATTTGTTTACTGAATAAGGTTAAGAGTCACCCACTCCAATCCCCCCAACACCCTCCCCCCCCAAGGCAGAAAAAGTAAATGGCTTTCAAAGCCAATCAGAAGTTTATTCAGATGTTTAAATTGGATAGGGACTTGGCCTGATATGCATTTTAAATAATCACTGTTGTTGAACTTGAAAATTTTTTTATAAATGATATTGGGAAGTGAATGGTATATAAAGACTAATTAATATGCTGTGATTTGAACCAGAAATAGCAAAGTGGATGTAAGCATAAGAAAGAGAAAGCAAGTTTGGGGCTGGTGCTGTGGCATAGTAGGCCAAGCCTCCACCTCGGCACCGACATCTGTATAAGCACCGATTCGTGTCCTGGCTGCTCTTCTGATCCAGCTCTCTGTTTATGGCCTGGGAAAGCCAGTAGAAGATGGCCCAACTTGGCCTACTGTGCCTGTGTGGGAAGACCGGAGGAGGCTCCTGGCTCCTGGCTCCTGGCTCCTGGCTCCTGGCTCCTGGCTCCTGGCTCCTGGCTCTGGATCTGCCCCGCTCCGGCCTTTGTGGCCATGTGGGAAGTGAACAAGCCAAAGGAAGACCTTCCTCTCTCTCTCCCTCTGTCTGTTAATTCTCTGCCTCTCAATTAAAAAAATAAAATCTTAAAAAAGAAAGAAAGCAAGTTTGCCCAACTTAGGTAGGTCACATGGTCTAAAAAGACCTGGGGCTTTGTTAAAACAGGTTTCTGGCTGTCATCCAAAGATTTTTTTTTTTTAAGATTTATTTATTTATTCAAAAAGCAGAATTATAGACAGAGAGGGAGAGACAGAGATTGATGTTTATCCATTGATGATTCCTCAAATGGTCGCAATGGCCAGGGCTGGGCTAGGCCAAAACCAGGTGTTTCATCCAGGTCTTTTATGTGGATGGCAAGGGCTCAAGCACTTGGCCCATCCTCTGCTGGTTTTTCCCAGGCCATTAGCAGGGAGCTGGATTGGAAGTGGAGTAGCTGGGACACAAACTAGCTGGGGTTGCAGGTGGCTTTACTTGCTATGCCACAATGGCAGCCTCATCCCAGAGATTCTTGATTCAGTAGATTTAAGGTGAGGCCTAAGAATTGCATTTCTAACAAACTTCCAATTTATCATGATACTGCAGGTCTATATCATACCTTTGGGTAGAATTAAATCAGAGTATAGTTGTTGGATATGCTGAGTTCTTAAAGTCTGGGACCAGGAATTTTAATAAATAATGTAGGACATAGTTTGTAGCCAATAATGAAGCATTTTCTTTTAGTGAAAAGAATGCTAGGCTGTGAGCTTTGTGTTACCTTAGGGGAATCAGTTAACCTTTTTGGATTGAATGTCTTTTCCTGAAAATGAGAATAATAATATTGGCTCTTTCTTTCATATATGAAAATTAAAGGCAGATAGATGTAGGCTCAGAAAGCTCTTTGGAAAATCTAAAATCCTATACCAGTGATTTTTAACTTGAAAGTATCAGCGTACACCAAAATTGGCTTTAGAAAAAAAATTCTTTAAAGCTATTTATTTGAAAGGCAGAGTGACAAAGACAGAGAAACAGAGAGAGAGAGAGAGATCTTCCATCTGTTACTTCTCTCCCCATATTGCCACATTGGCCAGGACTGGGCCAGGTTGAAGCCAGGAGCTTCATTTGGGACTTCCAAGTAGGTGGCAGGCCCACTTCTGCTGTCTTCCCAAGCACATTAGCAGGGAGCTGAATTGGAAATGGAGCATCCAGGAATTGAACTGATGCTTATTGGGATGTGGTGTTGCAGGCAGTAGCTTAACCCACTGTACCATAATGCCAGCCCCTAGAAATTTTTTATATAAACATGTATGTCACACACAAACAAATATATATAGATATATACCCAGATTTTACTACAGGAAAGTCAGAAGGTTGTGTTTTTTAAGATAGCAATGTAAACACAATGATATCAACTCTGATAGTTTAGTGCCTTAAAAGCTTGTTGAGTACCTACTGTTTGCCAGGCATAATACCTACAAGTGTGGATATAAAATAGAAGTCTCTTCCCTTAAAGAACTTTGTCTTTTGTGGCAACTGAAATGTATACAAATAATTTCAGTATATTGTGTGTTGATAATAACAGAGGCATGCTCTTTGACTTTTCAGTGGTGTGAAAAATGGAGGAGGAAGTGGAAATAAAGTATGCAGAATTTTGTGAATGTGTGCATATAGTGTCCAGAATATAGTTAAAGTGTGATGTGTAAATTCTTTGCCCTCTGTAGATGAATCAGAGCTCCTCACTGTTCCTGATGGTTGGAAGGAACCAGCTTTCTCCAAAGAGGACAACCCCAGAGGACTCCTGGAAGAGAGCAGTTTTGCAACTTTGTTCCCCAAATACAGAGAAGCTTACTTGAAAGAATGTTGGCCTTTGGTGCAGAAAGCCTTGAATGAACATGTATGCCTCTTTTATACATTTTTTTGAGAATTTTCTTTTATTATCTTTGCTTTTAAGTAAACATTGATGAGTTTGCTTTCAAAGGTGCTAGTGTAGTACCTGTTTAGCTTGGTTCCTTTGTTATTTAATTTTTTTGAGAAAGAAAGAGAGAGAGAGAGACAGAAAGAGCTCCCATCCACTAGTCACTCCCTAAGTGTCTGCAACTGTTGGCCCAGCCAGGTAGAAATCAGAACTAAATCCAGATCTGCATCTGCTGCCTCCCAGGGTGTGCATTAGCAGGAAGCTGGAATCTGTAGTGAAGCTCAGTTCAGACCCAGGCACTGGAAGGCGGGCATCTTAACAGGCAGCTTAACACCTAGTCCAGGTACTCACCCCTCCTCGTATTTTAAGTAGTTTCAGTAAGCTTGATTCTTATAGTTGATAAAACTAAATTTCCTTGAAAAATGTATGTATCTTTAAATTTTTTTTAAAGTTATTTATTTTAAAGTCAGAGTTATACAGAGAGAAGGAGAGGCAGAGTGAAAGAGAGAGGTCTTCCATCCGCTGGTTCACTCCCCAGCTGGCCACAATGGCCAGAGCTGCGCCGATCTGAAGCCAGGAGCTTCTTCCAGGTCTCCCACACGGATGCAGGGGCCCACATTGGGCCACCTTCCACTGCTTTCCCAGACCATAGCAGAGAGCTGGATCGGAAGTGGAGCAGCCGGGACTGGAACTGGCGCCCATATGTGCCGGCACTGCAGGCAGCCACTTTACCTGCTACACCACAGTGCCAACCCTTAAGTTTTTTTTTTTTTAAGAAATGGAAAGTATATGTACCTTGAATACTTCAGGGATATTGTGGAGTATCAGAAACTTACCTGTGAAGTCCAAATTTCTGAATGCCTGTTCTACGCTATAATGGTTGCCATGTTATCTGTCTAGTTTGAGCTGAGTCATGCTTTTAATTATTTATATTTCATTTTTTAAAAAAAACTTATCTGGGATTGGCACTGTGACATAGTAGGTTAAGCCTCTACTTGCAATGGTGGCACCTATATGGATGCCAGTTTGAGCCCTGGTTGGTCCATTTCCAATCCAGATCCCTGCTGATGTACCTGGGAAGGCAGCAGCAGATGGCCAAAGTGCTTGGACCCCTGCACCCATGTGGGAGACCTGGAGGAAACTCTGGACTCCTGGCTTTGGTCTTGTCCAGCCCCAGCTAGTGCAGCCATTTGGGGAGTGAACCAGTAAGTGGAAAATCTCTCTCTCAGTCCATCTCTCTTCTCTGTTCTCTGTAACTCTGCCTTTCAAATAAATAAAAAATAAATCTTCAAAAAAAATAAAAGACTTATTTAATTATTTGAAATGCAGAGTGTCAGAGAGAGAGAGAGATCTTCCATCTGTTGGTTGATTCCTGAAATGCCTGCAATAGACAGAGCTGGGCCAGGCCAAAGCCAGGAGATAGCATTTCCATCTGGGTCTCCATGTGGATGACAGGGACCCAAGTACTTAGGCCATTATCTGCTATTTACCAGGTGCATTAGCAGGAAACTGGATCAGAAGCAGAAAAACTGAAACTAAGTACCAGCACTCTGTATTCCAAGAAGCTGCTTGACCTGCTGTGTAGCAACACCCTCCCTGCTTAACTTTCTTTTTTAAAAATAATTAATTAATTAATTGATTAATTTGAAAGGCAGAGCCACAGAGAGGCAGAGACAGAGAGAGAGAGAGAGAGAGAGAGAGAGAGGTCTTCCATTCAGTGGTTCACTTCCCAAATGGTTGCAACAGCCAGAGCTGGGCTGATCTGAAGCCAGGAGCCAGGAGCTTCCTCCAGGTGCAGGGGCCCAAGGACTTGAACCCTCTTCTACTGCTTTCCCAGACCATAGCAGAGAGCTGGATCAGAAGAGGAGCAGCCAGGATTTGAACTGGCGCCCATATAGGATGCTGGCACTGCAGGCTGCATCTTTACCCACTATGCCACAGTGCCTGCCCCTTAACTTTCATTTTAAAAGAAATATGGGTATAACCTACACTTATTTTTAGCTGCTTCCATGCCCCTATAGCAGTAGATTTATTTTTGTTTTTCAAATTAGTGATTGAAATCCATTAGTGGATTAAGAAGTAAATTCAGTGGCTATAACAAGCCTTTGAAATGAGGTTATTTGATGTGTGATAAGGGCCTGATGGTTTTGTGAAGCTTTTGGCTTAGCCACATTTGTGTTTGTGTATAGACATGTGTCCTAGATTGTGTTATAACATATTTCTCACAGGTAGGACTATTCTGGAGTTGGTATGCCTTTTGGTTCAGTAAGGTTGTGTTTTAACAGCTGTCTACATCTAGTATTAAACTTTTTTTCTATGCAAATGCATGGTGATCTAACCATATATTGAATTGTTCTTCATTCACTGTTAAAATGCATGGAGATGAAACTCGCAAGTAAGAAACTAGTATTTTTATTTGCATTCTTGAAAACTGTTTCTTCCTATTGTGAGTTAATACTTGATTTTCTGAATTATTGCTTCTTTCTAAGCAGGGCAGAGCTTGTTTTTGCTTTGTATGTAGCCCTCTAACCAGCTAGAAAAAAGTTTGAAAGGAAAAGTCAATTCTCATTCTAAGCAGCAGAGTAGATTGAGTCTAGGATAGGACTATACAGCTTTGCATTTTTACTTTAGGTCTTTATGGCCTCAGTAGGATTAAGGTATATTTTTTTAAACTTAGAGATAATCTTTATTCCAGTAAGTACAAGGTATTATAATGCCAAGTATGTGAAAGATCTTAAAAAAGTTCATGGGAACTATGTATTGTAAAAAAGCGTTACATGGCTGGCGCCGTGGCTCACTTGGCTAATCCTCCGCCTGCAGCACCGGCATCCCAGGTTCTAGTCCCGGCTGGGGTGCTGGGTACTAGTTCCGGTTGCTCCTCTTCCAATCCAGCTCTCTGCTGTGGCCCAGGAGTGCAGTGGAGGATGGCCCAAGTGCTTGGGTCCCTGCACCCACATGGGAGACCGGGAGGAAGCACCTGGCTCCTGGCTTCAGATCAGTGCAGCGCCGGCCGTAGTGGCCATTAGGGGAGTGAACCAATGGAAGGAAGACCTTTCTCTCTCTCTCTCACTGTCTATAACTCTGTCAAATTTGAAAAACAAACAAACAAAAACAAAAAAAAACTTTACATGGATTTAGACTTTTTTTTGCATTAAAATAAACATTTTAATTCCACTTCCCCAAAAGATTTTTAATAGATGTATTCATGTATTTGAAAGGTAAAGTGACAGAGAAAGAGATCTTCCATTTGCCATAACAGCTGTGTCTGACCAGCCTGAAGCCAGGAGCCAGAAACTTCATCCTACTCTCCCACATGATTGGCTAGTACTTGGGTCATCTACTGTCTTTCCAGGATCATTAGCAGAAGCTGGATTGAAAGTGGAGCCTGGATTTGAACCAACACTCTGATATTGGGCTCAACCCACTGTGCCACAATGCCGGCCTTTCCCACAAATTTTTGGAGTACCCTTGTAAATGGTTTCAAATTGCTCTAGTTTCCTTTGTATTCTGTGAGGTATGAAAGTCATCAAATGTCTGTCATTTACATTTATTCAGCTTCTTCAGGGAGTTGATATTATTTGAAAGTTGACTTAATGACACAGAAATAGTTTTGATAGGAGAGACTATAATTTTCTGAAACTGAATTTTTTTAAGACAACTGTGTATTTGCTTTCTCTTTCTTTTATAGCATGTTAAGGCAACCCTGGACCTGATCGAAGGTAGCATGACCGTCTGCACTACAAAGAAGACTTTTGATCCATATATCATCATTAGGGCCAGAGATCTAATAAAACTGTTAGCAAGGAGTGTTTCGTTTGAACAGGTAAGTCTAGAGCTATGGAGATGTTGCTTGTTTACATCAACATTAGACAGCCTATAACACTGCATGATCCCTCCATCATCAAGCTTTCATGTTTGTGATTAGCTGTCATTAGCCTAAACTTGTAAAATAAATGTAATTTTAAAGAATATTCTTTTTATTTTTCCAAAAGGCTGTACGAATTCTTCAGGATGATGTTGCTTGTGACATCATTAAAATAGGTTCTTTAGTAAGAAATAAAGAAAGATTTGTAAAAAGAAGACAGCGGCTTATTGGTCCCAAAGGATCTACATTGAAGGTACTTTCTATGAGTGGAAAACTTCAGTTTCTGGCTCTGTCATTAATTTTTCAGTGTGTTAAATTTCAGTTTGCTGTTGTTTTCATACAGGCATTGGAACTCTTAACAAACTGTTACATTATGGTTCAGGGAAATACAGTTTCAGCTATTGGACCTTTTAGTGGTTTAAAAGAGGTAAGAACTATAATCTTCAATTAACTTGCAGCAAAGAACATATTAAATAATTTGATTATAATTCATTGTGTAGTATATTGTTTTGTGAGTTTATTTTTTAAACATTTTACTTACTTATTTGAAAGTAAAGAGTTAGAGAGGGAGAGACAGATCTTCCATCCACTGGTGTACTCCCCAGATGGCCAGGGCTGGGCCAAACTGGAGCCAGGAGCCAGGAGTTTCATCCAGATCTCTCATGTGGGTAGCAGGAGCCCAGGCACTTGGGCCATCTTATGCTGCTATTCCAGGCCATTAGCAGGGAGTTGGAGCCGCTGCACAAACCAGCACCCATATGAGATGTCAGTTTTGCAGGTTGTGGCTTTACCTGCTATACCACAGTGCTAGCACCCTATTTGTTTCTTAGAATGTACTTTGATTTCCTGTTAGTAGATACTTTATACATATTGTATATATTTTGAGATAATCATCACTCCTGTACCCTCATATGTTATGATCAACCTTGTCGACAGAGGAGATGTCTTTTTGTTTGTTTTTAAAAATTTATTTATTTGAAAGTCAGTTACAGAGAGAAGGAGAGAAACAAAGAGAAGGAACTTCTATCCTATGATTCACTCTCTTGATGGCCACAAAAACCAGAGCTGGGCCAGGTTGAAGCCAGGAGGTTCCAAGTCTACCATGTGGGTAGCAGGGGCCCAAGCACCTGCTTTTCTCAGGCCATCAGCAGGGAGCTGGATTGGAACTGGAGTAGCTGGGATGCAAACTGGTGCCCATATGGGTTGCTGGCATTGCAGGAGGTAGCTTGTCCTGGTACACCACAACATCAACCCCTAGAGATATCTGTTTCTGATTTAGATCTGTGCATCATCACTCTTCCCACTACAAAATTTAAGTGGGCATTTAAGATCTTAGTCTATAGCACAAATAAGAAGCATGGTGTTGTTGGGTACACTCAAATAATTGGAAAACTGAGCAGAGATCCCATTAGTTGGAATAATCTGTACAGCTAGTAAAGATCAGACTTTGAAAACCTTTCCCTTCAAAATCTATTTTCTTTTGTTTCAGTTTGAGTATAATATCTAATGTTTTCATGAACGTTTTCTTTATTTTGTCAACTCAAAGTTGTGAGAATATGTGTGGAGCAAATACTGTTTCTGTTAACTTTTTTTGTTGTTTCTATTCTCTGGGTTTGGTTGTGTGATTTTACTGACTTTCTAGGGCCCCTCCCTTTTTTAAAAGATTTATTTATTTGTTTCAAAGGCAGAATGACATAGAGGCAGAGGCATAGAGAGGTAGATCTTCCATCTGCTGGCTTACTCCCTAAATGGCTGCAAGGGCTGGAGCTGCACTGATCAGGAGCCAGGGGCTTGTTCGGGGCCTCCCACACAGGTGCAGGAGTCCAAAGACTTGGGGCCATCTTGTACTGCTTTCCCAGGCCATGGCAGAGAGCTGGATCAGAAGTGGAGCTGCCAGGACTCGAACCAGTGCTCATATGGGATGCCGGCCCTGCAGGCAACAACTTTACCCACTATGCCACAGTGCCGGCCCCAAGCCTTTAATAGTATTTCTGTTGGCCCTTTTTCTCATAAATTGCCCATTTTTCATGGGGTAGTAATAAATATTGAATATAGTTTTGTAAAGTGTTTAAGATACATTATTTAATTCTTAAAACAGATTATTGAGGTATATAGTTTTATCTCTATATTATAAGAGAAAACTGGGGCTGGCACCACAGCTCAATAGGCTAATCCTCCACCTGCAGCGCCGGCACTCCGGGTTCCAGTCCCGGTTGGGGTGCCGTATTCTGTCCAGGTTGCTCCTCTTCCTGTCCAGCACTCTGCTGTGGCCCGGGAGTGCAGTGGAGGATGGCCCAAGTGCTTGGGCCCTGCACCTGCATGGGAGACCAGGAGAAGCACCTGGCTGCTGGCTTTGGATCAGCGCGGTGCACTGGCTGCGGCGGCCATTGGAGGGTAGACCAATGGTAAAAGAAGACCTTTCTCTCTCTCTCTGTCTCACTGTCCACTCTGCCTCTCAAAAAAAAAGCACAACTGGAAAGAAAAATCAAGTGCTTTTCCTATATGTGTTTGAATTCGTAGTCCCAGTATTTGGGCTGTCATTTTTTTACTCTAAACTCAGCAGTCTTTCCCCCTAAATCACATAGCTCCAGAGTGTTGCTGTTATTAGTTCTCTGTATCACATTTTAGCAGCCATTGGGAAACTTTATGTTTCTACTCAGGAAAGATTTAGAAACCAGTCCCTGACTCATAGGCTATTTTGTAGTATAGTAATCATCTACCCAGTTCATTAAGATGCTTATAAGTAACTAATTCACTTTTCTTCGCAAATTTCAGGTACGGAAAGTAGTCCTAGATACTATGAAGAACATTCATCCAATTTATAACATTAAAGTGAGTTTTGATTATATATGACCATACCAGTGATCGTTATGTAGAAACCTAGAGGGTAGGATTCAGCTCATTCAACTTAATCAAGTCTTGTAGTTGCTTCTTCGGAAGCCTGGGTTTCCTTGGCGTACAGTGTGAGGACTATTGAAAGGAATGCTGTCATGTGTTTTACGGTTCTAACACAATGATTGGCTCCAGAGAATTTGTTGTAGATGATAGCAGTCAGTATTCTTAGATTATGAGCCCCCATGTGATGTTTAAAGATTCAATCTTTCAAGACTCTGATTTTCTACTAAAATATGGAACATCTCAGATCATTTTAAAACCTTTTTTTGGAACTTAACACTCAAATTGGATCTGTTTTATTCTTGTATACAAAGTTTGTGATTATCCCTAGAGAGGTAACCATGGTATAATGAGCCATTTTATGATGATTGTTGAACATTCCATTTAAATTTGAGAAAATTAAAAAGTTGCTGTTAAATTAGATTGAAAGTGATTTTGAGTTACAATGGGATGTTACAGATAAAAGGAAAGTCAATCGTGTCTGATACCTGCTTTGCATCCTTTTATGTTCCAATGTCTGTAAATGTGAAATGGCTCTGGAGAAATTTGAGAGTATTGGATTTTGTCTAATCACGAGAGTATTTGTTTCTCTCAGTTGTTATTGAAAGCTTGCTGCTTATAGGGATAAGCGAATTTAGAACCCTCCCTGCTGTTAATAAGTTTTAAAAGTTTTAAGAAATAATGGTTGAAAAGCTGAGTTAGTCTCATTTTCATCTCCTTTTATATTTTAAGAGATCTACTTTAAAAAAAAAAAAAAAGATTGTTTATTTGTTTGAAGGGCAGAGTTAGAGAGAGATCTTCCATCAGCTGGTTCACTCCCCAAATGGCCACAGTGGCCAGGGCTGGGCCAGACTAAAGCCAGGAGCCAGAAGATGCATCTGGGTATCCCACATGGGTATAGTGGCCCAAGGACTTGGGCTGTCTCCCACTGCTTTCCTAGGCACGTTAGCAGAGAGCTGGAACAGAAGTGGAGCAGCTATGCTTCAAACTGGTACCCATATGGAATGCTGGCATTGAGGGCAGTGGCTTATCCTATTTCACCATAATGCCATTCCCATACATTTCTTAATCTAAAATTTAATGGTTTTCTGATGCTTGGATAAATTATACATTTATAATTATAATTGAAATGGTATATATTTTGTTTTTAGAACTGATTTAATTCCACTGAAGAGACTAGGAGCTATTCCTTACTACTTTTGTTATTTATAGAAGCAATATTTATAATGCCTTACTTTGTCATATGTACGTGTTAAAATTTTTTACTTTGTTTGGTACATGACTGAAGACCTTAATGATTAAACGAGAGCTGGCAAAAGATTCTGAATTACGAACACAAAGTTGGGAAAGATTTTTGCCACAGTTTAAACACAAAAATGTGAACAAACGCAAGGAACCAAAGAAGAAAACTGTTAAGAAAGAGTATACACCATTCCCACCTCCACAGCCAGAAAGTCAGGTCAGTATTACATTGTTGAACCTTATATGAGGGGAAACTGTTTCAACCTATTTTGTCACAAACTTTATTGAGCATATTTTAGGTGGAGTATGTTTGTATATGTAGGTAGAAGAGGTGAAAGTAAATACTTATAGGCAAATGTGAAGCTAAGTAAATCTTGAGTTAGGGCATATTTTGAGCCAAGTACATTAGGAGTGTAAACTTATGAAGGTGACTGATGGTCAGTTGTGTCCCTGTAGCCTCTGTAAATGATAAATTCAGTGATTTAGCCCACAGTATTCTCTACTTAGCAACATTCTCATGACTGTGTCCTATATGCCTGTTCCTGTTAAGAAATATTTTAAAGATTTATTTATTTATTTGAAAGGCAGAGTTAGATCTTTCATCCATGGATTCACTTCCCAAATGGCTGCAACAGCCAGTGCTGGGCCAGGGTGAAGCCAGGTGCCAGGAGTTTCTTCTGGGTCTCCCACATGAATGCAGGGGCCCAAGCACTTGGGCCATCTTCTTCTGCCTTCCCAAGCCAATTAGCAGGGGCTGGATTGGAAGTAGAGCAGCCAGGTCTTGAACCAGTGCCCATATGGGATGCTGGCATCACACATGGCAGCTTAACCCGCTATACCACTATGCCAGCCCCCAATTATGAATTCTTAAATTCTGTATCTAAGTCGTAAGTATCTTCCTTTATGTCAACTGTCTCCTTCATTTCATTTCCCATTGTGACCAATGTTTCCTTTTATTTCTTGCTCCGTCACTGATTTCTTCCATGCTGCCTTTTCTTCCTGCCTTCCCAGTAAAAGTTTTTAAAACTAGAATCAGTTCCAAAACGTGACTTCTTTCCCAGAATGTGGATACCAAACTAAGCTAGAGAAAAATCTTACCTTTGGATTAAATTCACTAAGAATTTATGTTTCCAACTTGAGATGAGTGAGTCCTTGGAGTCATCTCTCGGTTCTGTGTGTCCTCTGTTTCCTCTCAGTACTTGCCTTTTCCACAGATGGCAATGCATTTTACACCAGTGAAGTAATTGAGGCAGGCAGACAAGAACCCTTTTAGTTCTTCTTTCCCTTGTAATTTTTCTCCCATCTGTTTCGACCTTTTCTGCTTGTTCTTTGAATTTGATCTTCACCTATCTCCAAAGGGATCTTGCTTCATTCTTCTTTCCATTGGCTCTATCTTCCCTCTTTACTAATTTTTCTACTCAGTGTATTAACTCATTTCTTTCTGAATATCATTTTTATTGCTTCTCTACAGCTCTGTGTTTGGAGTTTTTTGGGGAAAGTTTGATGAAGGGTCAAGGGAAAAGGGAATGATGGTCATAGTGAAAAAATGGAAGTGTTGGATCATGGAGTCTGTTTGGGAAAGAGAAAAAGAGACAGAAGGAAACTAATAGAGGAAACTGGATTGAATCAGTTACTAAGTTGTGCCTTCATAGCGTCTGTCATTCTTAGAGCCCTCTCTTGTGTAATTGGCTTATCTTCCTTCCCTTGAAAGCTTCTCAGAACAGCAGTGTCTTATGTGACTTGCTCTGACACTGTTATTTAACTCATCTGTGCCTCAATTTTCCCATGCCCAAAATGGGGTTAATGGTAATACCTATCTCAGAAAATTGTTAATGAGAGTTAAATGAGTTAGTAGAGAGCTTACAGTCAGATCTTACCTCCTCTGCGTGGCATTCAGGCTTTTTTTTTTCCCCCAGGCAGAGTTAGACAGTGAGAGAGCGAGTGACAGAGAGAGAGTTATAGACAGTGAGAGAGAGACAGACAGGTCTTCCTTCTGTTGGTTCACTCCCCTAATGGCCACTGCGCTGCACCGATCCGAAGCCAGGAGTTGGGTACTTCCTCCCTGTCTCCCATGCGGGTGCAGGGCCCAAGCACCTGGGCCATCCTCCACTGCACTCCTGGGTCACAGCAGAGAGCTGGCCTGGAAGAGGAGCAACCGGGACTAGAACCCCGGGGTGCTGGTGCCGCAGGCAGAGGATTAGCCAAGTGAGCTGCGGCGCCGGCCAGTATTCAGGCTTCTTCCAGCTTCCCTAAAACTCATCCTTCCAGTTTCCTCTCTTTTCTGAAACACTTTCATCTCACCCACGCTAGGCAGTTTTGTATTCCAAAAACACATTGCCTACATCCCTACTTCCAAGCTTTTGTGTATCTCTCAGCTTGGAGCACAGTTCCTTAGTTTAATGTAGCTAATTTTATGAATTAATTATGGAGTTTTGATTTTGATGTTTTTACCCCAGGGACTTTAAGATTTTTGTAAGATGTGATCTCTTGTCTACATTATTTCTTTCTGTTCTTCTTCTTCTTCTTTTTTTTTTTTTTTTAATTTATTTATTTTACTTGACCATCACATTTACAGAGAGAGAGAGAGAGAGAGGTCTTTTACCCACTGGTTTACTCCCCAGATGGCCGCAATGACCGGAGCTGCACTGATCCAGCGCCAGGAGTCAGGAGCTTCCTCCAGGTCTCCCACAAGGGTGCAGAGGCCCAAGGACTTGGGCCATCCTCCACTGCTTTCCCAGGCCATAGCAGAGAGCTGGATCAGAAGTGGTGCAGCTGGGTCTTGAACCAGCGCCCATATGGTACTCCAGCACTGCAGGTGGTGGCTTTACGTCACAGTGCCGGCACCTCTTTTTTTTTTTTTTTTTAAGATTTATGTATGTATTTGACAGAGTTACAGAGAGGCAGAGGCAGAGAGAGAGGTCTTCCATCTGCTGGTTTTCTCTCCCCAAAAGGCTGCAACAGCTGGAGGTAGGCCAATCTGAAGCCAAGGAGCCAGGAGCTTCTTTTGGATCTCTCACGTGGAGATCTTGCCCTTTCCGAGACCATAGTGGAGAGCTGGATCAGAAGTGGAGTAGCCGGGACTCGAACGGGCACCCATATAGGATGCTGGTACTGCAGGCAGTGGCTTTACCCACTACAGCACAGTGCTGGCCCCTGTCTACATTATTTCTGATGTGATATTAATACTGTCCTCAACAGATTGATAAGGAATTGGCCAGTGGTGAGTACTTTTTGAAGGCAAGTCAGAAGAAGCGACAGAAAATGGAAGCAATAAAGGTAAGACCGTCTTATTTCACAACATACAAAGCAAAATTAATAGGTACTTCAGTTATTTAAAAATTGTATTTTAATAATGTGCTTTGTCTTAATGTAGGCTAAACAAGCAGAAGCTCTCAGTAAAAGACAAGAAGAAAGAAATAAAGCTTTTATTCCACCAAAAGAAAAACCAGTTGTGAAACCTAAGGAAGGTAATGTTTTCAACTGTTGATAGGATATGAGTCTTATTAAAAGTAAAGTCATAGTGAATGTGTCTGTGTGTCTGTGAGTGTTAAGTAAAGGAATAACCGTATCTTCCGTTAGTTTTCTTAGCATTTCATTCATTACTAATCCTGTTACTAGAAATGACTGAGGTAATATAACACGTAATAGCAGCTGATGACTTAAAGAGTGCCCCAAAATTACAGTCCTCCCAGACCTGTGAACTGTGCTTGGGAAATACTCTTAGTTGTATAGACATAAATCTGGAGCAGTCAGTGTAGCCTCTGTAAAAAGAAAAGTAACTGAAGCAGTAAGATCCCTGAGCTCTGTTTCATGCCTCTCAAAGAAGGTTTATCAGAAGTGTGCATGTCTTCTCTTTATTTATGTGAGCTGGGACATGAACTTTGCTCCTCTATTGTCAACATGAATATCTTGTCACCTAGGACTAAAGGATGCTGACAAAGTAATGACAGAAAGGTCTTATTCAGGGACTATTAAAAAGACATGAAGAGAAGACACTGTCATGCCTTTTCTTCTACATTTCTAGCCTCATTCTAATTCCTCCTCTCCCCTTTTTACATTTTCTTTTCCTCTGGTAACACCTGTACTGCTCCTAAAGTAATCCTCCAGAATGACTGGCACACAGGATTCAAAGATCACCAGCAAGTTTATACATAAATTATCAGCCATAACTTAACATATATAACCCATTACAATTCTAGTGTCTCATATTGCTTTAGTGTTAATTGCTTTAAAAGTACTGTATTTTGTGTAGCTCAGAGGTGATATAGAAGTTACTAAGTATCTGCATTTTAATTTCCAGTCAGGACATTCTGTTAGTGAATTGCTTTGAAGGTGCTCAGTAGCTGGTCTGTAGTGATTAATAAGAGTAGCAGCTCTCATAGTGGAAACTTTACCTGTCTGTGCTCCTCAAGTTGCTGGGTGGTTTGTATGATGAGGTTTTATCTTGTGAGTTTTAATATTCTAAAGACTAAATTTGGCTTTTTATATTTATATATATCTTTTTTTTTTTGACAGGCAGAGTTAGACAGTGAGAGAGAGACAGACAGAAAGGTCTTCCTTCCATTGGTTCACCCAAATGACTGCAACGGCTGGTGCGCTGTGCCAATCCAAAGCCAGGAGCCAGGAGCCTCCTCCTGGTCTCCCATGCGGGTACAGGGCCCAAGCACTTGGGCCATCCTCCATTGCACTCCCTGGCCACAGCAGAGAGCTGGCCTGGAAGAGGAGCAACCGGGACTAGAACCTGGGGTGCCGGCGCTGCAGGTGGAGGATTAGCCTAGTGAGCTGCAGCGCCAGCCTCGTGTCTACTTTTCACTAGTACATGTTAAAAGTACTTATGATTTGTTTTCTCTCAGTTTGAAGAAATTTCTAACTTTTCTTTAGAAAGATATTTTATAACATTATCTTCCAATTCTCTAAAATTATTATTTTAAGCATGTGTCCTTTATATTTGATTTGATAAAATCTATACAATTACATATGTTTTATTTTTAATTTTTCTAGCTTCTACTGAAACTAAAATTGATGTGGCTGCTATCAAGGAAAAAGTTAAGAAAGCCAAGAACAAGAAATTGGGAGCACTTACAGCTGAAGAAGTTAAGCTTAAAATGGAAGCAGATGAAAAGAAAAAGAAAAAAAAGTAACATGTAAAAAAAAAACTGAACTAAAACTTATGTCATTATCTCCTTTTGTAAAGGATTTTGAGAATCTAAGGTATTAATCGCCTTATCTGTGAGAAAAACTGCTCCGATCACTTCTTTCTGAGTTTCTTTTATTCATAGAACAGTGTTCTTTATAAATATAAATTATTATATTCTCCACATGTGTTTTGAAAACTTTGTACTAAAAAGTAGTATATGTCTTCTTGTACATTGTACATGATCAGATCCAGGGAGGTTTTGTCCAAGTATGATTTTAGTAATTTTTAAGGTTTTTTTATATAGAGAGATTTTTGGAATATGATGATTATAATTATCCATTAAAGCCAATGTCTGATGCCATTGGTTTTTAAAATATAATAAATGTCTCAGCATTTTGTTTTGAAAAGACTAAATGAAATTTTTTCAGTGTTTGCTTTTTCTCCCTCCTTAATCACAAAGTAAATATTTAGGTTTATACCTTTTTATGGATTCATTTTATATTTCATTCCAAGATTAAACAGCTCATAAGCAGAAAATCAAGGCATCTGAAGTCAAATCTCATAGTTACTCTTCTATTCTTGAGTCTGGGAAAGTGGTAAACCAGAAAGACTTCAAGTTGTAAGAGAGCAGGGAAATCCAGAATCATGTTAAATCAGCAAATGAGAAGTGTTTCTAATGTTTTTAACTAATGCGGGCTTCTGGAGTATTACTTACAATCACCTAATCCAGCTTACTGATCTTACACGTTGGCAGCTGAAACCTGGGCTCGGGTACTCACTGAATGCCCCACTTTGGCAACCTCTATACATTGTTTATCTATATAAAAGTGGAAAGTAAAGATGAGTTTGTCTGATAGAGTTAGGAAGTTAAACAGTTTTCCTTTTTGAGTTTGGACTTCTACAGCTGCTTTCATTTTTTTCCCCCTGAAATGTTTTAAAATAGAAATCAGAGATACAGTTTAAAAAAAAAAGCCACATATAAATGAGTGGTTTTTTTTTTATTTGTTTGTTTCCTGCATTGTACTAATCCAAGAGAACTAAATTGGGGTATTTGTGCTTTACCCAAATGGTGATTACAACAGACAGTATGAGAAGTACCGAATTAACAATGAGAAAGAGAGATGTATATCTGTTACGTGAAGTTATGGGCCAGTCTGGATATACAACTGAGTAGTAACCTGTGAACCAAACAGAACATCCTTTCAGACACTTTTCTCATAATACAGTGACATCATTTACATAGCTCTTAAACAGAATAAGGTTTATATACATACGTTTGACATTGTCTCTCTGTGTGTTAACTGTAAAGTCAGGGAAAAGAAAGAAAAAATATTAAAAGATTAGGTACAGGTGAGGCTTTTGTTTTAAAATGCTATCTTTAATTATAACCATTAACCTTGATTTTATTGATGTGATTTTCAAAAGTTATTCAAGAAAAAAATGTTATTCAAGATATTTTATGTTAACAACTTAGTATTTTTAAGTCAAGTTTTTGTACCTTATGTAATAACTTACTATATAAGGAAAACTATATTAATACTGTAAATGGAAAATCATATGCTATAAGTAGCAGAGAATAAATACAATTAAACATTCAAGTTAAAATTAAAACTTTAACATTTAAAAAATAAAAATAAATGAGTACTGGAAATAATGTGAACAATGTACTAAAATATTTTTCTGAAGATAAGTTCCTAAGAAAAGTGATACTAGTGCTGGTGCTGTGGTGTAGCAGGTAAAGCCGTTGCCTGCTGTGCCAGCATCCCACAAGGGCACCTGTTTGAGTCCTGGCTGCTCCACTTTGATCCAGCTCCCTGCTGTGGCCTGGGAAAGCAGTAGAAAATGGCCCAAATGCTTGGGCCCTGCACCCGCCTGGCCTGGAAAAACTCCTGGCTGCTGGCCCAGCTCCGGCCGTTGTGGCCATCTCGGGAGTGAACCAGCAGATGGAAGATAACTTTCTTTCTCCCTCTGCCTCTCTGTAACTCAGCCTTTCAAATAAATAAATAAATACATCTTTTTTTTTAAACTGATACTGCTTATGATGAGTGAATGGTAAAGAGACACTGTCATCTCTTTCATCCATTCCAGTATGTCTAAATTAATAGAGCATTTGGCTATCGTCATGATTACCTTTCTCATGTTCCTTATCTTTATTCAAAATTTGACAGAACACAGTAAATAAATTCCCCAACTGCCTTTTAGCCTTCTTGATGCTCTCTTTCTTTTCCTTTTTTCTTGACAGGCAGAGTTAGACAGTGAGAGCCAGAGAGAAAGGTCTTCCTTCCATTGGTTCACCCCCCAAATGGCCAGGAGCTTCCTCATGGGTCTCCCACGCGGGTGCAGGGCCCAAGCACTTGGGCCATCCTCCACTGCCTTCCCGGGCCACAGCAGAGAGCTGGACTGGAAGAGGAGCAACCGGGACAGAACCGGCACCTCAACTGGGACTAGAACCCGGAGTGCCGGCGCCACAGGTGGAGGATTAGCCTAGTGAGCCGCGGTGCCGGCCGATGCTCTCTTCTATGAGTCAAACTCTTTTTCCACACCAGTTCTACACCAGTTGCTTTTGGATGCCTGTGGTGCAAGCCTATAAGGAGCTGGCCTTCTGGGCATTGGGAGCCTCCCAGATCATTCCTGTGACTGGGCTTTGCTGGTGGCAAATTGCTATGGAGCTGCTGCCCTAACTTCTTGCAATTCTACTCATGAAATCAAGGGTGTAATATTCTAGTTATTTTTCTTATGTATGTGTTTATAACTGAACATTTAACATTTTAGAAACATACACTAACTAAAATTATCTCATACCACTTGTATGCCCAGCATATTTTGGAAAATCTGGATTTGGCCTCCATACATATTGAACTACGAACCAGAACACCATGAAGGAATTTTTTTCTCTAGTTCTTGCCATAATTTGTCAGTGAAGGAATATGTTAAAAGCTTTTATATCTAACCTTTACCCTCACCAGACTCCATGATAAAAGGTGGGATGGTCTTTTTTTTTAATGGCAAGTCTAGTCATATATGCAGTATTAGTGCAAAATAGAAGCTTCCAAACAAACCTACGTTTTTATGAAAATAGAGCTACATAAACCCAGCATTGGAAACAGGACATGGGTAACAGAATCAATTAAGAATGCTGAGAAGTCATTTAAAATAGAATATGCATTTTGCATCTTTAAAAAATTCTATGCCTATTACCATGTTTTCTCCCTTCGTCTTATTGGGGATTCTCATTATGGGACTGTTAGTAATCTAAAGTTTTATCCCACAAAGACGTAAGTCATCTTGAACCTAATTTCCAAAGGTCAAAAGCTAAAATACCTTCAATGTGTTCTTGTTGTTGTAATAGTGGTAGTTTAATTAGATTGTTAAAGGGAAAGAATGAGTTTGCATTGAATTGTTTCACCAAATTTGTGAATTGGTACTGCTGTGCATATTTTACTGTTGAGGAAATAGGTCCTGAAATGCCCGGGTCACAGTGGTCTAACTGGGAATGGGCATATTGGTTCTAAAACTGTAGTATTTTAGCCCCTATGTTACATTACTTGGAAGGAAAAAAAATATATGTAATATACATATTCTTTGTAATATCATAGAAACAAAAGGAAGAATTCAGTTAGCATTGATACTCTATGAAGAGGTAGTTGTGTGGCTGTATATTACTATGTATTAACAGGATTAGTGTGAGTTGAAAAAAAAATGGTGGGCCTTGGAGAAAATTGACTCAGGGAGCCAATCTAAATACTGTTGTACCTGGAGTAAAGATAAGAATTCATTGTTTACTAATGGAAAGAAGGCAGTTTAATAGGATTTTTGAATTTTAGGCATACAAGGGACCTTAGAAAATACATAAGCAGTGGGACTTTTGTTTTTTTCAGAATTCACGCAGCAAAACTTGATCCACTCCATCTTCCCTTCTTAAGCTCCTCATCCCAGCCCTTCTGCCTTCCGTTCAGTTATTGATGTGGATACAAAAGTTCTACGGAACTTGTACTTGGAAGACTAAACAAATATATATCTTAAATGTATTCTTTCCTAGAACAGTAAGCCATTGGTTTGATTGCTCCTTAGGGACAGTTTCTTTGGAATAGCTATTAGGATAGAACAATGAGTTACCTTCTTAATCCTGTAGAAAGTTAGAACAGTTTGTTAACATTGTTTTGTTGGTAAATTGTCCCTTTTACTCACCACAAAGATTGTCCAAACACTTGTCATTTTGGGGGCAGGCACTGCAAGTGGCTCCTTTCTTATATGGCCAAGTTGGGTAATTTCCACTATAAAGTAAAAATGTCTCATTAGTAAAGGATTTTTTTGTTTGTTTGCTTTTGTTTTTGTTTTTCCAGCTTGCAAATTACTATGATTCCTTGACCAGATCCAGAATTGTCAGGTGGAAGTCCAAAGGCTGAGAGGATTAGTAAGGAGTGAAGAGGAAAGTAGAAACAGAGGCTAGAAATTAATATTTGTGGAGGTCACTTTATATGCTTATGTCTGAGAACCTATGTCTTAATGTCCATCATCTTGTTTAATTATGATAACTCTAGGAGGAAGTTGTTTTTGTTTCTGTTTTACAGATAGGAAAACTAAATTTTTTCTAACTCCAAGGCAATCCTCCTTCTTACTCTTTGGCCTAAATAATGTGTATATTCCAGCCGGCGCCGCGGCTCACTAGGCTAATCCTCCGCCTTGCGGTGCTGGCACACAGATTCTAGTCCTGGTCGGGGCGCCGGATTCTGTCCCGGTTGCCCCTCTTCCTGTCCAGCTCTCTGCTGTGGCCCGGGGGTGCAGTGGAGGATGGCCCAAGTGCTTGGGCCCTGCACCTGCATGGGAGACCAGGAGAAGCACCTGGCTCCTGGCTTTGGATCAGTGCGGTGTGCCGGCCGCAGCGCGCCGGCCGCATTGGCCATTTGGGGGGTGAACCAACAGTAAAGGAAGACCTTTCTCCCTGTTTCTCACTGTCCATTTTGCCTGTCAAAAAAAAAAAATAATAATAGTGTGTATATTCCAGAAGCCTGTCTATCTTATTCCAGCTCTCATGACCCATTTTTACTCTCAGTCGACCAACCCTAAATAAATTATATTAGATAGGAGCCTAACAAAATGTTGTGATATAAAAATACGAGTTTCTTTAGTTATTTCAAAGTGATGAACATGAACTATATGTTTAAAGAATTTGCAGGAACTGTGAATAAAGGTAAACTTGGCCATAATCTACAAAATTCTGCCAGGTCTGTGATGTGTGCTGCCCCTCCCCCTCCTTTGCCCCTAAATTTCATCTCATTCAGTGGGCCAAGCATTCTGGTGTTCTGTGTGCTCTTCAGACCAGACTACTGTTCCCCAGATTGTCAGATCTCATATCCGATTCTTTCTAATTCTTAAGCTTAAATATATGTCAGAGCTTAACCATTTCACAGAAAGTTGTTTTCCTGGTCATTTCAGCTTAAATAGGGGATTTACAGTAGCATTTAAGTTTCCTACATTGTCCCTACCAAGATGCAAATATTTTATTTGTATTTTTACTGTGTCTGCCTCAAAAAACAACTCATACGGGCAGACTGTGGCTTATTCTCTTTTGAAGCTCAGTAAATAAATGTTTGTTGAATAAATGAATGTATGAGGGCATTTAAAAAAATTTGTGGAAAATGGAATTGAAAGATGAGTTCATCTTTCTGCCCCAAATTTTGAAATCTATGCCTTTGAGGGGGACTTCAAAAAGTTCGTGAAAAATGCATATTAGGGAAAAAATGCATGGATTTCAAAACATTTTGTGCCAAAATAGACATTTTAATTCCATTTTTTTTTTCCACAACATTTAAAAGTATCCTCACATAGATTTACTCAATGTTATAACTTTGGCTCTAAGCTTTACAACTTAATATTGTTTCTAACTCTGAAGGCAAGTAAACTGATTCTAAACCAGGAGCATTCACATCTGGATTTTATTATTTTAACAAGTATAAAAATTTTTTTTCAATCACCATTGCCAGAAGTTAACATATATTCAGTGTCTTGTTTTTAAAGATTTATTTATTTAAAAGGCAGAGTTAACAGGTAGAGAGGGGGGGGGGGGGAGAGAAAATCTTCCATCTGCTGGTCGCTCCCCAGATGGCTACAACAGTCAGTGTTGGGCCAGACTGAAACTAGGGGCTCAGACTCAGTCTTCCCTGTCGATGGCAGGGGCCCAAGCACGTGGGCCATCCGCTGCTGCTTTCCCAAGCCATAGCAGGGAGTTGGATTGGAATGGAATGCTGGTGTCACAGAGGATAGCTTAACCCACTGAACCACAACGCCGCTCCCGACTCTTTGTACATAGCTTTCTTGTGTAATTTTCATAACTACCCAAAGCAGTAGGTGCTGTTATTATCCTGATCTTTTAGAGATGAAACTGAGATTCAGATAGTTAACTAACTTGTCCAAGGTCACACAGTAAATTAACCATTAAAAAAAAAAAAAAGTAAACTAACATTGCTGATTGAATTATAGCTTTGGCCAGTTTCCAAGGCCATTCACAGCTTTTTCCATGATACACAATCTACAAACTTTGTGAAGACTGCTAATTTCTTATTTTTTGTACCAAAATAAGCTTATCTTTCCCCCTTTTTATATGATTAAGAAACAGAGACAGACACCCACAGAGCTCCCATCTACTGGTTTACTCCCCAAGTGGTCACAATAATCACACCAAATATGGATGGCTTGAACCTAACCCTTGAGCCACCACAGCTGCCATAGGGGTTTGTATCAGCAGGAAGCTGGACTCAGGAGCCAGAGCTGAGACTCAAACTCAGATATTCCAAAATAGGATACAGGATTTCTAACCAGTGTCTTAACTACCAGGCCAAGTACACACCCCAAACTTACCTTTTAATTTCATGTTCCATGAATTTTTGAAGTACCCTTATGTGAATCACTAGGAAAACACTCTAGTCGAAAAATGGACAGACCACATGATTCAGAGAAGAATATAAATGGATGAAGAAATTTATAACCAGTAATGATCAAAGAGATGCAAAGTAAGTAAAATACAAATTCTATCAAATTAGAAAATATTTAAAAATGAAAATACTGGGGCTGGTGCTGTGGGGTAGCAGATGAAGCCACTGTCTGCAGTGCCTGCATTCCATATGGACAACTGGTTTGAGTCCTGGTGGCTCTACTTCTGATCCAGCTCCCTGCTAATGCGCCTGGAAAAGCAGCAGAAAATGGCCTAAGTCTGCACCCATCTGTGAGATCCAGAAGAGGCTTCTGCCTTCTGGCTTCGGACCAGCCCAGCCCTGACCATTGCAGCCATTTGGGAAGTAAACCAGTGGATGGAAGATATTCTTTCTCTCTCTGTCTGTCTCTCCCTCTGCAGTTCTGACTTTCGAATAAGTAAATAAATAAATCTTATAAAATTATAATACCAATACTGCAAAAGAAGTAGAAACAGATATAAAATGGTGATTATATAGTGGAGGAGGTGACAGTTGGGGGGTAATTTGGCAATGGGTGTTAAAATAAAAACTACAAAACTAAAAAATGGTCACACTTTTTACCTGGTAGTATTACTTTGAAGAATTTCAGGGAAGTAAAAGAGACTGAATCTTTATAAAGTTTCTCATCATGTATTAAAGAAAATATAGGGCACAATCTAAATTCTTCAAGGGGATGAACTGCTGTGTTACCATCAACAGCACAGACCCTGGAGGTAGACAAATCAATGTCCAGCTGTGACATTCACCAGCTGCAGGACCACAGCTGCCCTGTCCATGCCTCAGTATTCTCATCAGTAGATTCAGATTAAGTAAATTAATATATGATACATACTTACTGCCTAGCACACTCAAGAATTATATAAACATTGTTTTTTATAATTATGGAAATCATGTTTAAAATTTTAAGGAGGTAAGACATGTTCATGGAAATGGTATAATTTTAAGTAAAAAGTAGAAAACATTTCCTGTGTGAAAATTTTCTAAATATGGTTTATGATTCACAAGCACACATATGCAAGTTTAAAGGAAGTGGAGTGTCAGTTCTTTCTAAAGGGGGAAAATTGTTTTCATTTTTAAAGCATAACTGTAAAAAGTATATGAGGGGGGCCAATGTGTGGCACAGTGGGTTAAGCTGCTGCCTGCAATGCCAGCATCCCACATGGAAGTGCCAGTTTGAGTCCTGGCTTCCCTTTCAGTGTAACTCCCAGGGGCTAATGTGCCTGGGAAAACAGTAGAAGGCCCAGGTACTTGGACTCCTGCCACCCACATGGGAGACCCAGATGAAGCTTCTGGCTCCTGGTTTCAGCTTGGCCTCTCCCAGGTTATTGCAGCCAGTTGAGGAGTGAGCCAATGGATGGAAGAGTGTGTGTGTGTGTGTGTGTGCGTGCCTCTAAGTCTGCCTTTCAATTAAATAAATTTTTTAATAAAAAGAGTAGATAACTCATAAATTGAGGAATTCATATTTTTGTTTTGAAAATTGTGTAACAATTGCCAAATTTTTTCATAAACCCATAAATATGATGTAACATCAATTCTCCCATTTTGTGGTATTGTGAGCATATCTAATTATTTTATGTCTCTGACAAACATTTTGGTATTGCTATTTTTAAGAATATGTGGGTATGTGTATTTATGTAGTGCTTTTAAAGTGTGCATGTGGGCGTGCAGCCACCCTACCTACAATCACACCCAAAAAGATGTAGGGAATGTTAATGGGTAGATCTCCCAACAGACAAGTTAAGGGTTATATCCATTTTCTTCTTTATACTTGATCATCTATACTTCTTATAATGAAGATGAATACTTTTAAGATAGAACTGGGTTTTGTTTGAGTGTTTTTAGAGTGTTTCAGGGATTCAGGCACTTACGGTGGTCCATAGTTGCATATAAAATGTGCTACGTTGGAAAAACTGGGTAAGCCAGAAACTTGACTGCAAAACTGCACTGCACAGCCGACTTTGTAACTATCAGCCCAAACAACCTGAAAGGAAACAAGGATTTTTGGTAGAGAGAAACATTACAATGAGTATTTGGGTGTGATCATAAACGTGGTGAGGTGTGCTCACTGTCGTTACTTAGCGTACTTACTCCCAGGGACGTTGTGGGTGTTCAGAATACAGCTGTAATTACTATTTGTGTGTGTGTGCATGGATGTGTGTGTGTGTACAATTCTCATAAACATATGAGCAGTAATTAAGATGATTTTTGGCAGTTATTACAATGAAGAAATAAAATTCCAGAGTACTGATGGGGAGGAGAGGAGTGTTAACTTGAGTTAACTTGAGTGTTCAGACTTGTGTGTTCAGAAAAGATATCTCTGAAGAGGAGGTGCTTAGACCGAGACTTGAACGATGAGGATGCAGCCCTCAGGGCGAACATTTAGGAGACCTGAATGATGGAGGAGGAGGATTCCATGCCCAAGGAGCAGCATGGACAAAGGCCCTGGGAAGCACTTGAGTGGAGATAAGAATGGCAGCAGGAAGGCAAGTGGACTGGGATCTAGTCAGCAAGGGAGAGTCACAAAAGATGAGCTCAGAGGCAAAATGACAGAGAAGAGAGGAGAGATTGATTTTCCATCATCGGTTCATTTTCCAAATGGCTTCAACAGCTTGGGCTGGGCGAGGCCAAAGTTAGGAGCCAGGAACTCCATCCTGGTCTCTCACATGGGTGCCCAAGTACTTGAGGCATCTCATTCTGCCTTCCTGAGCGCATTAGCAAGGAACTGGATGGGAAGCAGCATAGCCAGGACCTGCACTGGCACTCTGATATGGGATGCTAGCGTCCCAAGCAATGGCTTAGCCCTCTGTGCGACAATACTGACCCCTGGATCTTGGCAGTTCTTGTATGTGGGTCAGTGATGTGCTTCCTCATGTCTCAAAGACCCCTTTGGTCGTTATGAAGTAAATGAACCAGAAACAGCAAGGGAAGAAAGGTAGTGTTGGAGGCTGTTTCAGCGGCACAGACATGAGAAGCAGGTGCCTCACACTCAGGTGATGACAATGGATCTCCTGAGAACTGATCAGGTTCAGGCCTCAACTTGGAAGTAAAGCTGAAAGGATTCATTCTTGTTTTGGGTATGGGGTAAAAGGGAAAATGCAAAAAAATAAAGTCCTGGTTTGGAATGTTAACAATCTTTACCGAGATGGAGAAAAGTACAGAAGCAGAGCATGGGCGAGGGGTTCCGGATGCCTGCCAGACAACCTAAAGAAGAGCGATGCCACTGCTAGACTCAGCCGTCTGCAGCTCAGAGGACAGGCTGAGGCCAGGGACACAGATCAGGAAGTCACGGGGGTGGATGAGATCACGCAGGCTGAGACAAAATAGGTAACAGGGTAAATGAGAGCGTGGGATAAAGAAAAACAAACAGCCCACAGGCACACAGAAAAGGGGTGGTCAGTGACACAGCAGGAAGACGAAGGGCAGAGCCAGCTTTGTTGGCAGCCCGGCTGGTGCCTAATATGGTGGTCATGGCCCACAGTTGCTCCACCTTCGTTTAAATCATCGCTGTCGCAGGTTTCACAACTTCACTGGTACTTCTCCCTTTGCCTTTTGAACAGCAGTTTCCACATCTTTGTTTTGCACTGAGCACCACAAATGATATAGTTCGTCTTGACCACGAGCATTTGGTATTGTGGAAGACTAAAGAAGGAAGTATTTTAAAGAACTAGCAGAAGACAAACCTAAAGTTAAGTGCACTCCTCCTTACAGTAATATCAAAACACATTTTACATCCATTTTTACTCATTTTTGGAGTAATTGTTTGAGTAATAAAAACTGCTAAATAGAGGAGACACAAAGGTGAGTGAGCTGGAGACAGCGAATGCCTTCATGAAATGTAAAGAGAAGCAGGTGTGAAGCCGTGTGTTACCCAACAGTTTGACTTTAGCGAGGTGGAAGGTAGAGCATGGGACCCTTCTCTGGAAAAAAGTGTTGAGCTGGAGCTGGAAGCAGCGGGCTTTGGTAAGAGCTGACCCCAGAGAGTTAAGCCACTGCTTGGAGCACCTGCATGCCCTTGGCATCGAGTCCCAACTTTGCTTCTGATCCAGCTTTCTGCTAATGCTCACCCTGGGGTGCAGCAGGTGCTGGCTCAGGTGGTTGAGTTCCTGTCACCTGTGTGGGAGAATGGGGTGAACTTCCTGGCACCTGGCTTCAGCCTGGCCCAGCCCTGGCTATTGCAGGCTTTTGAGGGGAGTGAACCAAGGGATGGAAGATTCATTCGTTAGCTGCCCGCCCCCATCCATCTCTATCTCCCTCTCTCTCTCCTACTCCCTCCCCCCCCCATTGTTCTTCCTTGGAAATAAATAAATAAATAAACTTTTAAAACTGGAGATATTCTCCAAGGAAGGGTTCTCTGTGCATTTCATGACCAGAAATAACCCTGAGGTTAACTGCACGCTGCACAAGGACTGGAGCAGTGTAAGCCAGCGTCTCCCCGAGACAGCCTAGGTGGATGCGACCTGTTAGCCCTCAGGCTTGATCCTGTGCTTACACTTTGACTTTTCGATCATTTCTGTCTTATTTTTAAAATCTCTTAATTTTTATTCACTGCATCTCAAGTAGTTTTTAAATGGGGGTGGGGTGCTTTGTTTAAGATGCTGGTTTCTGGGCCAGTCTCCAAGCTACTACATGACACTGCAATTGTCCTTGATTCTTTTAACAAGTTGCTGAAGTGAGTTTCCTGCATACTAACGAGGTCCAATATTCTCTGTTCCTGGTGCCATCACCTTAGCTCACTGTACATTGTTGTCCTTCGGTCTTCCAGTGCTTTCTTCCGTGGTATTATGTATCCTAAGTATTCTTATCTTTAGGTCCCCTGTGCCTTCAGTGCTTCTCTTCCCCAAACTGTGCAAATGTTAGTTTTCATTCATTTTGTGTTCTAGTTGATCTCTTGAAAAATCAAATGTATTAGAGTAATTAACAAGTAGTAAAATTCATTCTTTTCTGTTTGTTAAAGTTTACTTTATGTATCTGAAAGGCAGAGTGACAGACAGAGACAAAAAGCGCTCCTCCATCAGCCAGTTCACTCTCCAGATGGCTGCAGTGGCTGGAGCGGGGCCAAGCCAAAGCCAGGAGTCAGGCCTTCCTGCTTTTCTACATGGGTGACAGAGGCTCAAAGAGTTGGCCATCTTCTGCTTTCCCAAGTACATTAACGGGGAGCTGGGTTGGAAGTGGAGCTACCAGGGCTCTAACTGGCACTCTGATATGGGATGCCAGCACTGCAGGCAGCCCCTTATCTCGCTGCACCGTAATGCCATCCCCCTAAGTATACATTTCTACAAATTTTGCTGAAAGCATACAATTGTGCAGCCCTTACCATAGTCACCCTGCAAAGATCCCCTGTGTCTCCTTGTGATCAGCCTCCACCCTGACCCCCACTCCCAGCCCAGTAATTATTAATCTGCTTTCTGTCCATGTGGTTTTGCCATTTCTAGAATATTACATAAAGGAAATACGTTTAAAGGTAGTTTTATACCTACCTTTATACCTTTATACCTAATCTCTTTCACATGGAGTAAGCATTTGCAACCCATGCATGCCCTCGTGTTCATTAGTGGTCACTCCTTTGCATCACTGAGTAATATTGATTGTGTGGATGTACCACAGTTTATTTATCCACTCACGTTGGTCTCTTTTGAAAGGCTCCATGGGTATGCAGGTTCTAGATTAAAATTGTGGGCTCTGGGGCTGCAAAGCCTGAGTTCATATCCCAGAACTGATACTTAGTGTGCGATGCTGGCTTTAACTTCTTCATCTGTTAAATGAAGTTATAACAGCACCAACTGCACGAGGCTTATTTTGAACTTCTGGATGAGCTGGTAAAAAAAAAATGCTTAGAACACTTCTGTAACACAGCTAGCACTCAGCAAATGTTTGCATTTTGTTTCTTTACTGCTAATTTTATTCTCCTTTTTATGTTAATGAAAATTCTTCATTTTCAATCAGGCAGGTATCTGTTGTATGCTTTCTTTCTTTTTATATGGCAGATAAAAGCCATAATTACAACAAGAGAGTAAGAACTACTTATTACTGAGACCCTAGTGTCAGGTGTGATGTTAAGCGCTTTACATGTGCTGTAATTCTTAATCCTCATAACAACTGAATCCATAGGTGTTATTGCCTTTATTTTTACAAATGAAAAATTGAAACTTAATTCTGGCCGGCCGTGAAGTACTTTTAGGAAAGTCTGTGCCCTAAGCAAGATGCTTTCAGAGTGTTTTCCCCTTTACTGAGTCAGGAGTCTGATAACAATGGTAAGAGATAGGAAACCTGAAATTGTGAAAATGTCCTAGCTCTATTGGTTTTCTGAGAATGTAACAATAAAAATCTTAAGCAAGGGATGGGGTAGATACGAACAAAAATAAGATCAGTAGTGCCATCTTGTGGTAATTCCTGGTACTATCAAATCCAAATAATCTAATAGTCCTAACTATTGCCAAACTTCACAAAGCTGAACTGGCAGCAGCAAAATATCAATTTATTTAACCTTTCATATTACTAACTCAAAGTTCTTAAATGTAGTCTATCTCCAGTTCAAGTAAATCTGAAATGTTGAACATGTCAAGAAATACTTTTATGAGGACATAAAAGATACTGAACCTATTGTCTTTCTTCTCATAAGTTAGCCAGTAAGCTTATTTTATTTATTTGAAGGGCATAGTGACAGAGAAGACAGACATCTCCCATCTGCTGGTTTACTCCCTATATGATCGTAGCAGCCAGGGCTGGGCCAAGCCAAAGCTAGGAGCCAGGGACTCATTCCCACTCTTTCAGAGTTGGCAGGAACCCTGCTACTTGAACCATCACCTGCTGTCTCTCAGGGTTTGCATGATCAAGAATATGTAAATGGAGCACAGCCAGGATGCAGGCATCCCAAATGGTGCCTTAATCATTGGCGCCAAATGCCTGCCCCTGATTCAGTTGCCTTTACTCCATGCAACCATCATCATTTGGCCAAATCTTCAACTAGCTTGATTTCAAAAGAAGATTATGATAAGTTAGAGGTTATAACACCCATTTGAGATAACTTCTGAGCATGGATTTAAAATGGCAACTGAGAAATCTTGAACTCTCTAGCAAGATTTCTTGTAAGGATGAAAACAATGAGTCTTTGAGCTATCAGATCCTTCTTCCAATATAACTGCGAAAAATAAGCATGAACAAGGGATCCAAAGTCTGGAAAACACAAGCTGAGACAATAGCTTATCAGTTTACTGAGGTCAACTCTCAGAGAAACGGGAGTGAGGAGAAATAGTGAGTTAAGCCAGGGGAAGTGGACTGCAGCTGGGAAGGGAGGCTGACCCTTCAGAGCTAGCCTGCCTTTGGGAAAGGCACGTGTGTCGACGGATGCATGATAGTGTTGGGCTAGTGCAATTCAGACACTGATGCAGTGCTTCATGGGCAAAAGGACAGAGCAAGTCTGGCCAAGGCAGACAGAGGTGCAAAATTTCACTCAGCAGGAGTTACATGAGCTGGATGAGGTTTGTCAAGTGAACATGAAAGGCAAGAGAATCCCAGGTAAAATTAGCAAGTGTAGAAGGTATACAAAGTGTATGAAAAATCCTGGTACTTCAGATTAATGGACAAAAGCTCAGTGTGCAAATAGAGATCAGAGGACTGCTCTATTGAGAAGAGACCCCTAAACCATACTTGCATATACAAGTGACGACACTACATGTCCATCACTCAACAGATTCAAAAAAGAGGAAGTAACTAAATTTATGTCACATGGGCCTGAGATTTCAGAGATGAACCTCCTGAAGTTAATTGGATGGGGGCTGGCACTGTGACATAGCAGGTAAAGCGCCACCTGCAGTGCTGGCATCCCATATGGGCATCTGTTTGAATTCTGGCTGCTCCATTTATAATCCAACTCTCTGCTATGGCCTGGGAGAGCAGTAGAAGATGGTCCATGTCTGTGGGCCCCTGCACCCACATGGAATACATGGAAGAAGCTCCTGGCTCCTGGCTTCGGATCAGCCCAGCACCAGCCATTGTGGCCACTTGGGGAGTGAAGCAGCGGATGGAAGATCTCTCTCTCTCTCTCTCTGTCTCTCTGTCTCTCTGTCTCTGCCTCTGCCTCTCTGTAACTCTGCCTTTGAAATACATAATATTTAAGAAAAAGCAATTAATTGAACATGTTTGTAAAATTTCTCCTTATATAAAAGAAAAAAGGAAAGGTAATATATTGGATGTGATAAGACTAAAAAGTCTAGCCTACCAATAGCAAAGCCCAAGCTGAGTGATCCTACCGTTTTTTTCTCTTTGAGAGACCACTACCTTCTACCCCCCACTCCAGAAGAGGGACCCTCGTCTTGGGGAGTATGTCCAGGGATTTCCCCTGGGTTTGGGAGGGTGCAACATCTGCAGCTGCATTTGAGTGTTTGTAGTGTTCAGTGCTCTATATTGAGGGCCATGTTCAATTCTTACAACAAACCAGCACAAGCAGGCTCAGAGAGTTAAGAATTGTTTCCCCCCAGTGCCATTCAGCTAGTAAAAGGCAGAGTTGAGACTCAGATACCAGATGTGTTCTAAGGCTTAAAATAACCCCAAGTGTATGAATTATCTAACAAAGAACTAATATTTAGTTCTGTACAGATTGGTGGCTCTCACATAATGCTTGCAAATTGCCTCAAGCCCTATCTCTTCTTTTCTTGGAATCTGCTCTATTCATTATTATTTTTAAAGCAAGAAAGTAACCCCTTACTCCCTCAAATTTATAGCTTACTTTGTATTTTCTGAGCCATAGATTCTAGTTTTCTCCTCACCGCTGCAAGGACACTTTCAAGCAAATACTGTGTAGATGCTTACCTGAGTGTAATGGCCGCAGACTTTTGTGCACTTCCGAGTGCTGAAGTCATAGTATTGCACTTCATCATACCAGTTTGTGACAGCTGAAGACACAGAGAAGAGGGAAAGAGAGCCGGTCCATATATTTTCTCCCAGGGAAGTGAAGTTTGGGTGCAGCTTATGGGGTGGCTTCAGCTGAAAGTTGTGTTCAAACTGACAATTTTTCGCCCATGCTTTTGCAATTCTGGCAAGTGCTGGGTCCCAAGTCTGCAAAAAATATTATTGAACAATACAGGGGTCAAGAATGATATTTCTTACTCAACCATGTAACTGAGATGAGTAGGTAGGAATTTGGATGGGAAATGAGGTGCAATGACAATACTAGAGAAGTTTTGTGAAATACAGAATCTTAGTGAAGAAGATAGACTGATATTTTACTCAAAGGTCCAGTAAGTGCAAAGTACTGAACACTGTTTATTGGCCACAGTAATCCATGTTTTCAGTGCTTGGAAAGGCTAAAAACCAGATCAAAGCTCCATATCTGGGATTCAGATCCAGGCTTTACTGAATCAACATCTCATCTTTCCTCAGATGCCATGCTGCCTTCCTCAGAAATTCAATACTCTGCTGGGGGGGGGGGGGGTGGAGAAAGAAAGAAAGAAAGAAAAGAAGAGGAGAAGGAGGGAGGGGAGAAATGAGGAAGAGATGAGTCAGAGATTAAAAACAAAAAAAAACCAAAAAAATAAAAAATAAAAAAGTTAACCAGGAAGAAAATATCCAAAAAGAGAAGTGATATCTACCCAAATACCAATCTACCCAAACGGAAGTGCCCAAAAAGAGAAGTAAAATATATTTGGAGACTTTGTAACAAAAGCTAAAAGGCAAACTGAATGTGTTCTGATCACAGATAGTGAATTTGCAGCACACAAAAATCATAGTGAAAACAGCATTCCGGATCAACAAGGTGTTACCCCCAAAGTCGATACACATTAGTTATTTTTGGCTGGCACTCCACAAACACTGATATTTTTCTTACCATGTAAAGCATGTCACCGGCTGTTGGATTCACCTCTGAGCGGAGCTTGTTATGAATGTGAACGCAGTCTTTGATGAACTCTTCATTTGCTATGTCTGGCAGAGTGCTTGCTGTATACGAGTAACTGGAGACAAAAGAAACCATGCATGCCGCGATGGTAAGTCTGACTCCCATGCTCAGTCTGTCTGCCAGAGAGCTCTGGGAGGCTGGAATCCAGAGTCGCTGCCACTTCTGAGCCTGAGCTCGTCTCCCTGGGAGTTCTCAGCTTTGCAAAGCATAGCCAACTCAGCTTTGAGAGAAGGGTAAGCACGACTTGAGTTCATCTGAAGTTTTAAGAAACCAGTTTCTCCATATATGGCTTGCAGCTCCTTTTGCTCTCTTAACCCTGTCGTTTCAGTGGTTCTCAGTGACACAGCTCCTGTGACAACAGAGATTTTTATGGGGCTGGGTCAGACTTTCTTTCTGACTTGGGGGATATTTCCAAAGGAAATGCTCAAGTCTCCAGAAATAACAGCCTCCAATATTTTTATGAAGGTTGTGGTGATTCTCTTATTCAAATATCTTGTAAAATGCTTTTTTAAACCTTTTTAAAAGAGACATATCAGCACACTGGTTGAAATGTAGTAGCTTTCCTTTAACTGGTAGGGCAAAGTGGGGGTGGCGTGGGGAAGGGGGTTGTATGAGCTCCAAGACCCCCTGTAGATGCCTGAAACTACAACTAATACTGCATTCTATTGGGTAGAATGTTTTTACTTTCACCTACCTATCTATGATAAGGTTTAATTTATAAATTAGATACAGTAAGGGTAGACAACATTAACTAATAATGAAATTGAACAATCTTAATAATAATCTGTAATAAAATTGACCCCATTATTACTCTTGCACTTTTGGGTCATTTTAAAATAAATTAAGAGTTACGTGAACACAAGCACTGTAGCACCAACACAGTTGATAACGTAGTCTGATAACTGAGACTGTTACTAGGTGACTAATGGGTGAGTATTATACACACCACGGAATAGCCAGGCAAAGGGATGACTCATATCCGGATGGTGCAGTGCTGGAAGGTGTGAGATTTAATCATTCTACTTTGAACAGCATGTAATTTAAAAACTTAAAGTGAATGCATTTTTAAGGGGAAACTACTGTATTTGGTTAACTTAACTTGACCTAGAATATATTCACAATGTTGTATGTGTGTGTGTGTGTGTGTGCGTGTGTGTAAAACAGAAAGAAGTAAGACCAGCATTGCTAATGTGCCTGGGAAAGCAGCTAAAGATTGCCTAAGTACTTGGGCCCTTGACACCTATGTGCGAGACCCAGCTGGAGTTCCAGGCTCCTGGTTTCATCCTGGCCTAGACTTGAACCAGCAAATGAAAGATCAATCTCTCTCCTCTGTAACTCTGCCTTTCAAATAAATAAATCTCAAAAAAAAATTTTTTTTAAATGGAAAGAAGTGGAAAAGAAGAGGGTAGGGTGTGTGTGGGAATAATAGAAAGGGCAGCACTGGTCTCAAATTTAAAATTTAACTTGCATTTTGATACTAACTAGCTGTAATACCTTGGACAAGTTACCAAGCTCTGTAAGCCTCAGCTACAGGCTGAATAAGGACAATGGAACCTTTTCCACTTCCTTATTCTTCCATGTTTGGCAGAATCACATGAGCTAGCTGATTTACATTAAAGTCCTGCTCCATGTATTCAGCTTACTGACAGAGAAATGAAAGCAGTCACTGCCCTCAAAGAGTTCTCAAGGATAAGGGCGTGAGATGGGGGTGACAAGGTTGGCCACAGGAGCTGGCACTAGCATGTAAAGTCGCCACCTGAAGTACCAGCATCCTAATTGAGCACTGGCGCGAGTCCTGCCTGCCCCACTTATGCTCCAGTTCCTTGCTTATGCGCCTGGGAAAGCAGTGGAAGAGAGCCAAAGTGCTTGGGCTCCTGCACCCATGTGGGAGACCTGGAAGAAGCTCCTGGCTCCTAGCTTCAGATTGGCCCAACTCCGTCAATTGCATCCATTTGGAGAGTGAACCAGCAGATAAAAGACCTCTCTCTCCTCCTTTCTCTGTAACTCTGTCTTTCAAGTAAATACATAAATCTTAAAAAAAAAAAAAAAAAAAAAGAAGAAGGGATGGCTACAACAGGGCTGCTTAAAAATGGATTGAAGAATGCAGAGGGAGATGTGGAATCACAGATGTTTAATTCATTCTGGAAAGGGCAAAGGTGGCCTCCTACACACAGCAGGGGAGGTCCCAATTGATGTTAGTATCAGATGGGTATTGGTCAAGTGAAAGAGGGTTGGAGAGATGAAAGGAATTGAGGGACTAGGAATTACATATCTGGTTGTGAAGTTGGAAACATGGTGTCAAGGCAAGGATAGAGAAAGAAACTGCATATTATTGCCTTCTATAAAGGTGTTCTTCAAATACTGATTCTGAAAGGAAACACAATACAGGTGTCCCGGAGTTTAGAATCCAAGCGCTGCTCTCATGCCAGGTAGACAAAATTCTGATCAGGGAGAGCTTCTGGATTCTGACATTGCTTTGGATGGGAAGTCATGGAAGGATTTTAGCTGTAAGTGGGCTGTGATTGGCTTTAGAAAATACCTGTAATTTAGAAAATCAATATGGAAAATGAAATGGGGGTGGGGGAGCCATTTCTAATGGATACTCATAAAAAGTAAAGAAACATTATAGAATCTTAAGGTGGAATTATTGTTGCCTGCCACTCTCTCCCAGATAACTTTATAAAATACTCATATCTAATTTCAAGTTTTTTCTAGGCTGACTAATTTCTATCATTCCTTTCAATTGTGTTGACCTAAGATAAACACTTCCTTTGTAGGGCTCAGGGGCCAGTTTTTGATCAATGTTGTGATGATCAATAGTTTGATCTGACAACCAGGTCCAGGGCCTGCTTCCCACCATCTTTGGGTCTCTGTGAGCTACACTGAGTTTTGAACATGCGAATGAGAAACATGAGACGTCATAAACACGCAAATCTAGTAGTGACATTATGTAGTTGCTTGTGCAATCCCCCATGCACACATACACAACTCCTGCAAGTGACTAAAACTATCTTGCTATTGAAATGAATCTGGGGCTGCGCTGTGGCATATCAGGCAAAGCTGCTGCCTGCAGTGCCTGCATCCCTATGGGCGCCGGTTCTAGTCCCACTTCTGATCCAGCTCTCTGCTATGGCCTGGAAAAGCAGTGCACTGGAGTGGGAGACCCGGAAGAAGCTCCTGGCTTCAGATTGGCCCAGCTCTTGCCTTTGTAGCCATTTGGGGAGTGAACCAGCAGATGGAAGATCTCTCGCTTTCTCTGCCTCTGCCTCTCTATAACTCTGCCTTTCAAATAAACAAATAAAAAGGAAGGAAGGAAGGAAGGAAGGGAGGGAGGGAGGGAGGGAGGGAGGAACCCATCAGTTTTCCTCTACTTCTTTGAAACCAATCACAAAGTGGGAAGGTTCATAGAGATCATTTGTATGGAAGTATGCAGAACAGTTATCTACTCAGAGCCCAACTCCCAAACTTCTTGTCACACTACATTTCTTCAACAAAAGCCCACAAAAGTGGTTTTCCGCAGAACAAAAGTTAATTTACCTGAAGCAAGTATAAGCCACCACTTCTTAGAAAGCTTACAACGTTAGTAGGAGTTTTATCACTTTTTGCCCAGGGTCTTCACCATGTCTGCTTGACAAGTGTGCATGTGTGTTAAGAAATTTGTTTTTAGTGTTAATTTCTGAATTTTAACATTTTAGGTGATGTCTTCACCTTCTTTATTTATTCTTTTCTGTATAGTTTCATTTTGCTTTTTAAATAGTAAGCATATAATCAGGATAATCATTTATAATAAAAAATAATAAACCAAAACTGTTTTCATTTTGGAGAGCCATGGATCTTTAAAATCATGCACAAATTAGCACATGTCCACAACCTGATAGACTCAGGCAGAGATAAAAGATTAGAGAGATATTGATAATCCCAATGTAAATTTTAGTTCTTGTCCTTGGAATAGGTCTCCTAATTCAGTGTGTTTTACTAAATTACCTTACAAAAAGCTACAATTGGTATAGCAATAATCATATCTACTCATTATATGGAAAAATCTCACCCTAATTATACTGCATTAGACACAACCATGGAGATACATGATGAGCTTTTTCAGATTTCTGGGAGAGAAATGGCATGGAATGCCTATAATTTCTTTTTTTTTAACTTTTATTTAATGAATATAAATTTCCAAAGTACGGCTTATGGATTACAATGGCTTCCCCCCCATAACGTCGCTCCCACCCGCAACCCTCCCCTTTCCCACTCCCTCTCCCCTTCCATTCACATGAGGATTCATTTTCAATTCTCTTTATATACAGAAGATCAGTTTAGCATACATTAAGTAAGGATTTCAACAGTTTGCTCCCACACAGAAACATAAAGTGAAAAATAATAGATGATTTTTTAAATGATGATGAAATCAGATCAGACCTATTGTCATGTTTAATCCCAGTGAGAGTCAAGTTGGGAATTGATGATTTCTTTTTTTTTTTTATAGAAGATCAGTTTAGTATACTTTAAGTAAAGATTTCAACAGTTTGCACCCCCATAAAAACACAAAGTGAAATATATTGTTTGAGTACTCGTTATAGCATTAAATCTCAATGTACAGCACATTAAGGACAGAGATCCTACATGAGGAGTAAGTGCACAGTGACTCCTGTTGTTGACTTTACAAATTGACACTCCTGTTTATGGCATCAGTAATCTCCCTATGCTCCAGTCATGAGTTTCTAAGGCGATGGAAGCCTTTTGAGTTCTCCGACTCTTATCTTGTTTAGACAAGGTCATAGTCAAAGTGGAGGTTCTCTCCTCCCTTCAGAGAAAGGTACCTCCTTCTTTGAAGACCTGTTCTTTCCACTGGGATCTCACTCTCAGAGATCTTTCATTTAGGTCTTTTTTTTTTTTTTTTTTTTTTTTTGCCAGAGTGTCTTGGGAATGCCTATAATTTCACACTCTCTGCTAGATTCTGTAAACATTTAGGCTCCATAAGACTCTGCTATTCTACTGGGACTGGGTTAGGATGAAAAGTGAAGGATCCATAAAAGGAGAGGTACTACAACACTTACCAACAAACACATCACTGTCATATTTTCAGTGTTATGATATTTTAATTTGATGTAAACTGATTTGATGTAGGAGTTAACTCTAATCCACATCCTAGTGTTGTGGGTAAAATGGCAGTAAAGAAAGACAACTTGTTTTCCAAGTGGATAAGGCAGTGAGCAAAGCAAGATTTAAGTCAAAAACCTTGTGCCC